GATTCCAAAAATAATATTATATACAGAGTGTTCCATTTGAAAAATCAAAGTTGCTACTGCTTTCTAATAGAAGCGGCAACACCGCATTGTCGAAAATATTTTAGTCGGCTAGAGAATGTCCGAATATGCCCTCCATTAAATTTTCAAAGTGATCCGTTGTCTGGTTCACCAGAAACGTCTAATGTGCCATCCACCGTGAATCAGCCTGTATATTATTGCAATATTCGCTAAAAAATACCTGCACAAATTTCCTGCAAATAATCAATGCATTTGCAATATGGTAACAAGAGGAAGTAAGCATCTACGCATTCCACTACATAGAACAAGTGTACTCGAGAAAGTTCCGTACTATAACTGTAAACTGTCTCCACATTTCAAAGAAATCAATACCATGAGTATCTTCAAACGAACTTTGAAGGAATATCTGATTGAAAATCCCCTATATTCATTTTACAATGTCTGTAAAGTGTAACGTACGAGTTGTATATGCATTCTTTCTTCTATTTTTATAACAGCCACAAATGAACGTAGGTACTCTAAGTGATGATATACCGTGTGACACAGACTCATGGTACACCCACTTTTTCATTTCTTTAGCGATATTTCTGAAACTTGGAACATTGAATATGCTCACTAGATGGCACTTTTTGAAATATTTGTAAAACAAATTCAACTTCCGACTTTTCCGGAAATTACAACAACTTTTGATTTTCAAATGGGACATCCTATATATTATCACAAGAACGGTTAGGAAAAATCATGAGGAATCCAATGATACCAGGTTTGATGGTGTTATCTCTAATGACTACGGAGATATCGCCATTTATTTTATCCATGAGCTCAATGAGTGTGAGAGAGAGTTGGATGGACCCTCCAGAAAAAGTTTTTCTGTCCTACTCATTGAGCTCATGTATAAAATAAATGGCGATATCTCCGTAGTCATTAGAAACAACACCATCAAACCTGGTATCGTTGGATTCCTAATGATCTTCCCTAACCGTTCTTGTGATGATATATAGGATGTCCCATTTGAAAATCAAAAGTTGTTGTCATTTCCGGAAAAGCCGGAAGTTGATTTGTTTTACAAATTTTTACAATTTAAATGCCTAATACAACCTCATTTTGATTATTGTACAACATTACTTTTTTTACTTGGTAAAAATAAAATAGCGCAATTGCAAAAGCTTCAAAATCGGGGCATGCGATTAATATTGGGATGTAGCGATTACTCAGCAATTAAATCGATGTCTAAACTGGTTTTCAGTTGAAGAACATATATTATATATGACTATGATCTTGATATTTAAGCTGCATAAAGGATTGCTACCCAATTACTTTCAAAAATTCTTATTGAGAAATAATGTTGTCACACGGTATATTTTTACATTTTACTTGTAATTTTGATGTAATTTTAAGTATTTACTTATTTATTTATATGTGTGTTTGTGAATTGTAATTTCGTATTTGACGTTGCTGGTGTTTCATAAGAAACCCATGGCAATAAATATATTATTTTTTTTTACCGAAGTATGCGCTGATCAGGCCCTATTCCCCGAAGCCCCGATCCATTCGGGAGGGCGCGCCAGCATTATCAACCAACGACCACTCCCCACACCGTGGGGTAAGTGATCATTGGGTCCGATAATTATGTGCCCTGAGCAAGCACAGTGAGCCAAGAATGCCTTAGTGCGGTAAGCCGGTATGATTTCAAGATTCGAGAGTAGAGAAGCCATCATTCCACCAAGGACTCCAATAATCAGAACAACCATCTTGACATAGTGATCTGGATAGAATCTGCGGAGTTCGAAGAGAAAATCTCGACATTATATCCGTTTTTCCTCCTCTTTTCTAACGATATTCGTCTCGCCAGGAGCTGAAAACTCCACGACAAATAACGTTTTGCTCTGGTAGTCGAGTAGGACTACATCAGTCTTATAAGCTTGTCTGAGCCTGAGGGTGAGGAACGAATAGTTCCAATAAATTCAGCACTTTTCGTTCCCTGCAACGGATTCAATATCCCCGGAGCGTAGGGCAACACCGGTGTCTCGTCAATACCGTAAGAGTGCCGTAGATGGTAATATAGCACTCTAAGGGCCGCGTTACGTCGATGGATATAGGCCGAGACCGCATATGTTGGACATGCTGATAGCAAATTCATTAGGGTATCGGGCGCCCTGCACCTTGCGTCAGGAACTTCTATACCCATCATGCGACTACGGTAGATTAAGGTGTTGAAGACACTATCCTGGCAAGCCATGATGAACCCCTCAGTTTCCGACTTCAGCCCACTCGACTTGAGAAAAGCGAACGTCACGCGCTTTGATAAGCCAAGGTCTCCAATATTATTTAAGAAGAACCCATGCATTGGCTTATCCTTGTGTTTCCGCAGAAGTGAGGTGATCTCTGCGGCTTTCATCTGAGCTTTTTACTGAACGGGTTCCAACTTGGTGACAGAGTTGTGGTCACCTCGTTCAGTGTCAAAAACTATACCGAGTTCATCAGCTGCCCTAAAGAGAAATGCTCCAATTCCTGCTCTCTCATGGTCACGGACCATGCAGAGAAGGGGATCCGAACTCCTGACGATTTTACAGGCTGTCTCCAGTACCATTTCATCATGTAGACACTCCAAACTCAAAATTCCATGGCCTCCCTGTTGTCGAGGGAAGTACAACCGTGGAACGGACGATTTGGGATGCAAACTCCTATAGAGATGCATTATTTTTCGGGTCTTTACGTCGAGTTGATACAGCTCCTCACGAATCCACTTATCATTTTTATACAAACCGAATTGTTGAGAGAGCTCTAGGCTATACTAGAAAGTGCGTATCAGCCATGCTTCGAGAAATGGAAAAAACGCTGACACAAGTGTATTATATCTGAAGGGAACTACTTTGAATGGGACAAAGTAGAAACCGATAATTAAATAAATATTTTATGGAAAAAATTAAAATTACTTTATTTTTTGAACGGAGCTCGTATTTCAACAAAAATTCGACAAATCCTCAGAAAATGAAAAGTGGAAACAAAAAACTTGAATATAAAAAAAGGGAACAGTTCACCCACCTGCGCAACATGTGATATAGATTCAAACAAATCAAGAAGTTTGGTGTACCCATAATCAGCCACTCTACATTGCCTCCCAAAATGGTGGTGGTAAGCGGGAATGAATTTACTGAGCAGCAGCTGACATCTGTCAGTCGTCTTCAGAAGATCCACTAGTTCTCGACACAGCAAGCTGATATTCGGGGCTAGAGAAGGAGGCATTGACTTCAGGACATGATCTGAAAAAATCAAAATAGTTTCTCAAATGAGTTATATTCTCGAACTTCCTGTAATACCTTCCTCATGTTGAGAATTAAGGGTTTCTTCATATTTTATAACTTTAATGTTTTTGTTTGGCCCTACACTCCTTATTTCCATGTGAGGTACACAAGAGATCAAATGTTCTAAAGGTACACCAGTTTCATCAACCGGCAGCGGTTCATGAAACTCCTGTTCGTAACATGCTTGAAAGCTGAAAGATTATACAATCATATTTGAGAGTCGGTTGATTACATTCGAAGTAGCTTACCTTAATAAATGCATACAACCTAGATGAATTTTAAGTAACCCTGTCAATTTATCAGTAAACAACTTCAACGACATCTTAATGCTGGGAGCTTGTACGACGCTGAATTCACACCAACCTCTACTTTTAATACCATTGGGGCAATGTATCGTACAGTATGGTACTAAAGTCTGAAAACAATTGAAAATAAATTGGAAAGGTAAAAATTTTTTCAGGAATAATTGTTGCCTTCAACTTCTCTACTACAAGTAGAAGAAACATTTCTTGAAGAGTGTTTGATTTTCTTTAAAAGTTAGTGTTACTTCTATTAAATTGCAGAAGCTGAGGACAACGTTAAAAAAAACGAAACAAATCTTGAAGTAATCNAGTGAATATAATCGAAAAAGTAAGTATACAATTTGAACTGTGTATGCAGATTTAAAAGAATAAGAGTGTTAATAAATACCTGTGCATATAAACAAATAAACATACATTATATACATATAAACATACAAAAAGGTCCCAAATTAGTAATTACCGTGATATAAAATGTATAAATAAAAATGTGAAATTATAAAATTAAAGAGTAAGATTATTTACACAGAAATATCCACATAAACACAATCACTGAAATATTCTTGTAATCTATTACGTTTTTTTTTAGCTAATAAAAAATTATTCAGTAATTTTTTGAAAAGAAAAAAAAATTCAGTGTTTATATTTCTTAATGACAAATATAAAAGCTACTGTAACCTGAAAGACAATTTTTAACTACAATATGCAACACAATCAAGAAAAAAGTATAGGTCGTTTCAAAAGTTTTATCCGTGTTAATTCCATCTGGTGATATAAAATTTGGCAGAATCCCAGGGGCATTGGCTCCAGTAAAGACATAATGAAATAAGCAACTAGGATATTGATTATTTAATGAATAACTGTGTATTTGACTTTGAAGTGTTACTATTAGAGTAACAAGTTATAATTTTGTAACTAGCCGATGAATTTTGTGAAGTATCAAAAATAAACTTTATCTGGAACGATAATTCTAGTTTATACACCTCAGAGAAAATTTAAAGGTTGAAATAAAAATATACGATTTTGTTAAATTTATAATAAAATATTAAAATTAACATTTAGACAATTTATTTCTTACAATTCTGATATCTTATAAGTACCTGTTCGTCAATAAGATGTAAATCCATCTTGTAGACTAGTCTTTCTCAAAGTGGGCGATAACGCCCTCTTGTGGGCGCTGGAGGCCTATAGGGGGGCCGTAAAGGGCACATAGAAGATTGGGGGGCGTTGAAGCGGTTTAGGGGGGCGATGGCTAATTTAAAAATGTTATTTGCTTTTAACACAAACTTTACCGCTCCTTTACGATTAACGCAGTTTCCTAGTGTAACGCCATCTAGGGGACCAGACAGTAACTATTTCCTGTCCGATAGTTGTCAAACTGTACAATAGATGGCGGTAAGCTTCGATGCGAAGCGAGAAGTTTAGTCTCCATTCTCGAAAGTACTAGGCCCGCCCGCTGCCTCATATAAATGCCTCATAAAAAACTCCAAATGTGCTCGCTGTACATTGCGTCTCTCATAGGCAACATTTGGTTGAGTGAGCGCCTCCTCTCAATCACTGCAATCCGTGTTAGGAATCACACGTTAAAAGGTAAGACCTCGTTAGTCCTTAGCTTGCACAAGTTTCTCAACTTCTGAGAGTTGTCGTTTGTATGGGGCGACAGCTGATTAACGGAAAAACAGATTTTAAACAGATTTTTTAAACTGCAATATATCACCAAAGCAGTCAAATAAAATCCGAAACAGCTCTTTTAATGACAAATTATTTCATCAGCTTTTTGTTGCTAATGATGAAGATTTCAACCGATTGCTATTTCACAAAGAAGTGCGTTGGTTGTCAAGATGTAACTGTCTGACCCGATTTTACAATCTATTTGACTCTGTAATAGAGTTCTTGGAAAACAAAGACAAAGAATTGCATAACAACCTCATCACTTCAAAAAATAATACTGCGTACTTGACAGACCTGTATAAATTATTTAATGATGTCAATCTCCAACTTCAAGGTGAAGACTTGAATTTGATTAAAACAAAAAATGTCATTTCTGCTTTTGTAGCCAAATTGCTCTTATACAAGAATAATATTGGCAGACATGAGTTTCGCAATTTCCCTAATTTGTCAGCAGTATCCTTCAAAAAAGACGATTCCAGGACATTTTAAAATTGGAAATACCGGACTGGGTGTTGGATCCTTTTTCAAATGTCAACACAGCAGGATCACCCCAGCTGGAAGAAGAACTCATAGAACTGATACCGAACGAGGAAATAAAAATAAAATTAAAAAATGGATATCAATAATTTTGGCTACAAAAGCCAATCCCGCAATTGTACCCTGGATTGTGGTTCATTGTTCAACAATTTTTGATAGCATTCCCATCATCGTAACAAACTTATTAAATTAGATTAGTTTTAAAATTCAAATTGAAATGTTTGTTTTAATAACATGAATAAAAGTTTTCCTAATATTACAAAATAGTGTTTTACATTATCCTCATCAGAAAGTCTTATTTTCACATGACACACATAATTTAATTATTGAAATAATGACTGCGATTGTGATTCTTAAGATGTAGTAAAGAAAAAAAATTGGGGGGCGCTAGAAAATAATTAATTCTCGAAGTGGGCGGTAGACAAAATAAGTTTGAGAACCTCTGATTGTAGACGATAAACATACTTTCTCTTTAACACGCAGAACTTTTATACTCACCCTACTCAAACTTGGCGGGGGAGAGGTCCTGATTTCTTGAGTCAAAGAAATGATTCTAGATCCCAAATCATCTGTTATTTTACAAACATCCTTCAATTTATTCACTTCGGATACTGACACAGTACAGTTGTATCGGGATTCCAGTAGATCCAGAAATTTAAAGAGAGGCATACACTTGTCAGGAACTTCCTAAAATAATACGGTGAATATCGTATCGCAAGTCTATTATGAAACATAAAATGAGCAAAACCTCACCTGTAAAACTCCTATAACCATAGCTTTGAGCTGTTCAGGATCCGGAGAGTTGCTTTGGGCATATGATATGACAATTCGTTTGTGTCCTAACTTCTGTCTATGTAATTGTGATATGGTGAATTGCGCTTCTTTTTGACTATTCACTCTAATATTCGCTATAGGAGTACCATCTGCTTGAATAGTTACATTCAAACTTAAAATCTAAAAAACAAATAAGGTGATCCAGGAAAATATCGAGGGATGTTTGAACAACACAAATCAACCATTCAAAAACCCATTTTTACCATTGCATATTCCTTGAGCATATTAGTGAGCAGTCTTCTAAGTTCCTTCGTTTCAATGGTCGGGTCTAAGTTAGATATGATCAAGTCTACAGGTTGATTTGATTGTACATGCTTCTCTTCATTTTCACTCATGTATCCCATCTAGAACAACAACCATTTTCAAAAATAAATAACAAAGGGTTAAACTACAGGCTGTCTGACTTGTCTGACTTCTTTAATGGCCCGCCTTTTTGTTTTTTGAACGGGTCAACTCAAAAAATTGAAATTTGGGATAATAAAATTAATGCATGAATACTTTAGTTTGAAGTGAAATTGACAGATGAAACTTTCAAGATGGCCACTGGGAAAAAAAATTAAATGGAAAGGGGGGTGTTGTGACACATCTTTTTGAAGCTCCACAACCCTAAAATATGAAGTCAATATCTTCACCTACTACAAAATGGCGGAACATTTAATAATTTCCTGAAGACAAACACATTCATATCGATATTTCTAAAAATATTCCTATTTATCTGCCATATGGCAATTACAACAATGCGATAAGGTTAGTTAAGTTATTTTTTGTTTATAAAAATGACAAAAAATGTCAGTACGAAAATGAACATTATTGTTCACTTAGAATATTCTCATTTAGTTTTCGGTTTTACTGGTAGAAAAGTAACACGTCAACAATCTCTAAAATGGTCAATTCTTGTCTATTGGAAGAACAAAATTGAAGCGATTTTTATTTACGGTGCGACGCGTAACTTTCACGAGACCAAAAGTATTTTCATTGAACGATTTCCGAATCGTTCTATCTGTAGAAAATATATGAGGGAACTTGTATCCNAAATTAACCATTCAAAAACCCATTTTTACCATTGCATATTCCTTGAGCATATTAGTGAGCAGTCTTCTAAGTTCCTTCGTTTCAATGGTCGGGTCTAAGTTAGATATGATCAAGTCTACAGGTTGATTTGATTGTACATGCTTCTCTTCATTTTCACTCATGTATCCCATCTAGAACAACACAAATTTTCAAAAATAAGTAACAAAGGGGTAAACTAGAGGCTGTCTGACTTGTGAATCTACAATTCATTTCTTTAATGGCCTGCCTTTTTATTTTTTGAACGAGTCAACTCAAAAAATTGAAATTTGGGATATGAAACTTTCAAGATGGCTACTGGGTGCCATCTGGAAAAAAAATTAAATGAAAAGGGGTGGTCTTGTAACACATCATTTTGAAGCTCCTGACGAATAATTCACAACCCTAGAATTGAAGTCAATATCTTCACCTACTACAAAATGGCGGAACATTTAATAATTTCCTGAAGACAAACAGATTAATATCGATATTTCTAAAAATATTCTTTTTCATATCTGCCATATGGCAATTCCAACAACCCAATAAGGTTCTTAAAATTATTTTTTGTTTATAAAAATGACAAAAAATGTCAGTACGACAATGAAAATCATTGCTCAGTTAGTCTCATTTAGTTTTCGGTTTTACTAGTAGAAAGGTACCACGTCAACAATCTCTAAAATGGTCAATTCTCGTCCATTGGAAGAAAATAATTGAAGCGATTTTTATTTACGGTGCTACGCGTAACTTTCACGAGACCAAAATGATTTTCAATGATCGTTTTCCGAATCGTCCTATCTGTAGAAAATATTTGAGGGGACAAACCAAAATTTGCTGAATCAAGTGAAGTATTCAGAAATTAGAGGGAAGTTCTAGAACTGTCTTGGGATTACAAATAGCATGATGTTACGGACAAACTCATTTCGACATAATTTTGACACACCAATTTCAAAACTATGTGAATCCAGTGCTATAAATACGGCATGTTTTTGGAATCAAAGAAATTATATTGAAGGATAATTATTATTCAAACACCTTTCTTTAAATTCATGTATTCAAATACCCCAATATCTAAAGTCACTATATACAATCATAGTTACAATAGAATATTGAATTCTTACCCTCTGTTCATCACTGTATTCGGAGCTACCACTGTTCTTGTGGGTGCGTGACTGATTTCCGCAAGTTGCATTCAACAATTGTTCCCTGGGCGTTAATGCTCGCCGATCCAAATTCCGTTTTCCTCCCCAAATTTGTTCGTAACCCACATCCATGGGAGATACATTCGAAACACCAGCACCTCTTATTGGTCTAAACATACAGTTGTCCATAACAGACTGATTACTAGTCTGGAATAAAATGAAAAAAAAAACACATTGAACCATTAAAAAGTGTCTGTGCTCTGAAAAATAACATAAAATGAAGTCTTACAAAAACCGCGACACGTGTTTCGCTAGACAATAGCAAACGTTATAAAA